ACTCAAATCTGCTACAGTGTGTTGCGTGTTATGTTTTAAATTTTAGAATGTTTTTAGTACATTTTCAAATAGTTTTCGATTATTAAGATTCTTAAAGATTAAATTTACATTTAATAAGTATATCGTATTTAGAATATTTTGTAAATATTATTTATTAATTAAAACATTGTTTTGTTTATAATTATTGTTGTTCCTGAATTATACCTAATTTTTTATTACATATATTTTTTTTTTGGTTTTTGTTAAAATTAATACAAGTAGATTGTTTTCACTTATATTACTTCCTTTGTTCAATTGAATTGTACCTGACTTTTATACAATTATTTTCGTTATTGTTTAAATCAAGTTGAAAATTTCAACTTATACACCCAAAAATATCTGTAACACTCCTATATTGCAACCTCAGAGCTGGTAAAGAAAAGCAATAAATATTTAATAACCTTTTGTTTCGAATATATTCGTGAAAGTTTTCATTAATATGTTCCATTACAAATACATGTTCACAAACAATATGTTAAACTACATTCCTTTTATTTAAATCTCTGTATCGAAAGGTTCGATCAGGTGATCTCAGCTGTGTCACACAGATAGGAAAACAGCTGATTCTTTGATTCCTTGTAGGCTTAATGAATGTTACGAAACTATTATATACCATGGATATTATGATACGAAACTCCTCTGTATGCTTTTTGAGAAATCTGATGATCTCGTGGTTTACTTTGGCAGCACTGAAAGTTCATGAGCTACTGAACAGATGACAAGCAAAACAACCAACCACTGAGAATCTCGCAGAAATAAAGTGCGAAATCAGTGGATTATTTATGGGATACGATTTTTACGTGTCTTTTACGTATGTTTCTAATCTTTATTTAAAGAGATTTAATACAGTTTTGTTTTTGAGAAAGAACGGGTATTTTGTCGCAGAGTAGTGTTTTATTTGACAGTATCAAAAGTCAATGTATATATATAGTTTGGTGTGTAAGTGTTTTATAATATCAGTTTTTTTTTTCTATTGAGCTTTAAAAGTTTATTTGAAAATCCTCTGTGATTAAAATATACATGTACATATATTTAGGCCTCATGTAGGATATCCAGCTTCTCAAACTAATTTAAATAATGTAAATTTTTCTATAAAATGGAGACCGAAAAATATCCAAAAAAATACATAAAAAAATTTCAAAACTTATTTCTTTCCTTAGTGGCACTTAGAATCAAAGGTTATAAAAAATGTAAACTTTGACAGCGCTCTCTCGAATCAAAGAGTTTGGTATCACGTTACCCATGCTATATACCAGCCTAAATCATGAGCAACGCTTTCCAGTGTGAGAGCGCCTCAAAATTAGCGTTATTTATAATATTTTCGACTGTATTTAAATTATATTACCCATCATTTATTAAGATTAAATATTATTAAACATGTATCCGTAAAACATATGGAAAAACTATTTAAATACATTTTTTTAATTTGGTGATATATTAAAACAACTGATTTTTGAACTTTCAAATACTTAAAGAGTGAAAAAATTTATTAACTCTCAATTAATAAATGTTTTTTTTTATCATTTTCAATTGACAACTAGTACTACGAAGCATGACACCACAAAAGATTTCATCCCTTACATTTTAATTTTGCGTTTTCTTTAATTTTTATTGTTTTCCAATTTTTGTAAGTGATCCTCAACAGCGGTGACAAATCTCTCTGTTCACATATTTATCTGTAGGAGTTCAATCTGACGGACCCTTCTTTTCCAATTGCTAAACGTCAGACCTCCTGAACTTTGACAGTTGCCTGAGATCATTACGTTTTGACGTTTAGCAATTGAGCTCTCATTTCTTGTGAATGATGAGTTGGGCATCTCTTTATCTCTGCTATATACCAATGATAAAATGACATAGATAAAATGATCCGAAACTGCTCTCTTTGCCTTTTGAGAGAGCTCATGAACTTTTAGTGTTGCCAAAGCAAGCCACGAGCTCATGAGCTACTGAACACGTGACAACCACAATAATGAACTACCACTTAGAATCCCACAAAAATAAAATGCGAAAGCAGTGGGTAATTTGTGAGATCAAATTTTTTGGTGACTTTTACGTATTTTTCTAATCTTTATTTAAAGAGTTTAAATATAGTTTCGTTTTTGAGAAAGAGCGGGTACTTTTTCGCAGAGTATTGTTTTGCTTAGCAGTACCAATTGTCAACGTATATACATATTTTGCTTAGAATTCCCAGCAAATGTTATGTAAACTTTGACTTCCGAATAAATTATCGACAGATATTTGTTTATTCAGTATATAAAAAGTAAGAAATGTTCATGTTAAGCTTATTGCCGCGATTCTTCCAGCCGGTATGAAGCGAGCAGTAGCAGCAGCGATCACCTTGCGGAATTGACGCTCGCCAACGATGACGTCCGTAGGAATGGGTAGTGCGTTGAAGGTGCTCTCAGTAAATTCTGTAAAACCGACCCAGTTAGTTTTGTTAAAGTTAACATAAATGCGGTTGTCCACAGAAATAAAGTGAGAAGGTTTCTCGATCGAGATAATTATGGACAGATGGTCTAATGCGAGAGTTGCCATAGGTCAAATTTTTTGGTGACTTTTGCGTATATTTCTAATCTTTACTTAAAGAGTTTTAATATAGTTTTGTTTTTAAGAAAGAGCGGGTATTTTGTCGCAGAGTATTGTTTTGCTTAGTAGTACCAATTGTCAACGTATATACATTTTTTGGTTAGAATTTCCAGCAAATGTTATGTTAAGATAGTTGAATTCAATATATTCAGTATATAAAAAGTAAGTAATGTTCATGTTAAGCTTATTTAAAACTTGTAAGTGTTTTGAAATATTAAAATATTTTGTTAAATTTAGTTTTAAAAGTAAATTTTGAAAATCTTTTGTGATTAAAATATACACGTACATATATTTAGACGTCATATAGGATATCTAGCTTGTTAAACTAGTTTTAATGATGTATATTTTTCTGTAAAATGGAAACCGAAAAATTCCCAAGAAATACATTAAAAAATCTCAAAACTTATTTCCTTAATGGCACCACTGTCAAATGTTATAAAAAATGTGGACTTTGACAGCGCTCTCTCGAATCAAAGAGTTTCGGATCATTTCATTCATGGTTAGTTGCAGTTTATTATTACTAAAACATTTTTTTTTGTACCTCTCTATAGAATTTGGTTAGAAGGATATAAAAGTAGATACAATTTTTGAAAATTCTGCCTATCCCCCCTACTTTCCTAAACATTTTGTAAATCGTTAAAAAAATACCTGATTTTATCATAAACGAAAGCTTTTTATTTCTGTAATAATGACAATTAAATTCACTTTTTCTCTCTTTGTTTCAAAAATATTTACTTCCTGTAAATAAAACTTCTATTATTTTATTACTTCTATAACAAACATGTTGCAAATAGTAAGGCAATGAAAGAATAGCACCTGTTAATGGCAAACAAGCTACCTTTTATCCATCAACAAGTAGATAAGCACAATCTTATCAGTGACAGATATCAAGTATAGTTATTTCGTACCCAACCAATAATAGCAGAAGCTGTGAACAAATGTCACAGAAGTAAAATTAAAAATTGCGCATCCAAACTATTATTTTCCAGCTCCTTGCGTCGACAGTTCTAATTGTTTGTTCTATGCGTATTTGAATCCAAGTACGATTTCGTCAACATTGCTAATATAATAAATAAGAATTTACCATTCTTATGCATGGTACTACGCGCCCATTTTTTCATACATTCTTATAAACCTCAGCCGGGATGGTCTTCGATAAATTGTTGCCTCTTTAACGACCTCTACTGTACGTCGTTTTTGCAAAAGATTCAGTTCTTTTGCTGCGAGTAGCATTGACACGCTTCATACCCAAAGCGTTAACTAAAATGTGTTGGGTCAATCCATAAGAGATCTTACGATACTTTCCTATCTATTTAATGCCAATATGATGATTTTTCAAGATGGACAGTTCGCAAGAGGCAAGTTCTTGATGACTTCACGACCTTTCCTGAATGCTTTGTGTCACTCGAATACTTGTGCTTGTGATAAACTAGACTCTCCAAAGCACTTCTGCAACATATTCAACGATTTCAATGGAAATACAAAATTTCAAGCAATCACGTTAAATTTTGTTTCATGGTAAAAATAACCAGACACACCAACTGACATATAGTAGTTGTCAATTAGGTTTGTGCGCGGTCTAACCTTCCGTATACGAGGAGACTAATCTCACCAGGTTGTCCTAGGTGAGGTTTGCTACTTATACTCTAATTATAAAAGGTAGAAAATCCACTAAATTGTTTTTTATGATTGTTAAATAACAATAAAGATATTTATATTTCCATAATGAATTGGTTTAAGTAAACAAATTTTAATTTTAAATTAGAATAGGTTTTTATTAATAAAAGTAAAAAACCTAATGTTAAATTGTAACGATTTTTTTTTATCGCTGGGGTATGTCACACCAAAGTAACGTTATTATACGTCTGGTTATACCTAACTTCGTATACGGGAGATTAAATGGACGTGTCCGGATCATATTTGATCAGATGATATTACATAGTATATTTATTGAAAAATATATCGCTAACCACCATCCAATTTGCCGCTTAGATTATTTATTAAAGACTTCGATTGTGTTTTCCTTACAACCCAAAATAACAATATACTGATTGGAAGCTAGTTAGTGTAGAGCGAATGGCTCTTTTATACAAATTTCTTGATACATTTTTTGGAATAAGCAAAAATCGACGACGAACCAAATCGCGTTCAAGCAAAACAGCTGTCAAATATTCACTAAATATTCAAAATGGCCGACCTTGAAATTTTAAAATTCGCAACACTTTTTGAACAAACCTCGTAACACTTCCCGTACTTGTTAGTTAGAAAGTAACCTCTGTGTGTCAGTTTGGGGAGAGAGTCTTAGACATTTTATCTTATTTTAAATGAAATACAAAATATATACTATTTGAATATATTTCTTTTATTACTTTTAGAATCAGTCGGTCTGTTGGTTCATATTCGGACTCTGAAGATGACTTTAAAGATATTCGAGTGAATGTTTGCTCCAACTCTGATTCAAACATTGCGAATCCGTCTAAACACATGTAAAATCTTTATGCTGCTTTTGTTAATTATTAGGAGTATGCGGGATGCAACCATTAAAAAACAAACGCTAATTTATTGCACGCCCTTTTTTGTTATTCCACTCTATACTTATATATTACATTGTCTTGCAATATGCATATATCTGTAAAGAAACACACTTTCATAGAAAAAATCATTTTTTTATAGGAATTGTAAACATGAAAATTTATTTAGAATCCATTACATAAGGGAAGCAATAATTATGTAATTTTTAATATAAGTGTAAAGTTATAATTAATATCAATCGTTTATCATTTCGTTATTTCATCTCGTTATTATTGAAGCTGCAGTACATATTTGGTGAAAATTGTACTTATGCATAAATAATATATAGGTATATACGTATATAAATATAAAATAATACTTATGTATGTGCCTATTTAGATTGATTAATGGTGTGCCGCTATTTCTCAAATTTCTTTTACTCAATCAAAAGTTGATGGATGGTGATGGACCAAATAATAAGAAAAATAGCGTACATGGTGCCGCTTTTTAACTATTTTCTGTCTCCTTAGGCCATATTTTTCATTTATTCTTAAAATTATTTTTAATTATTATTAATAAAAAAGACAAATTTTTTAAGAATGTTTAAAAACAAAATTTATGCATGTATAACTCTTTTACAGAAAGTTACAAATATTTTGTATGAGTTTAAACTCATTGAATATATTATTAATGTATGTTGTTTCAAATCCCGGAAGTAATTCAATTATAGAATATGTTTAAATGAGATAAGTCTCCCCTACATATATACAACATTCTACTCGGGAAAAACTGGCGAATTCTAATGGAACACACCACACCTCAGAACGCTCAAGAAATTTCACCCCACACGACGACACCACCACACTCAAGCTCTGAAAACAACATGCACAAAGACACCTACCAAAAAGGACGGGACCATCGCTAAATCGACAATGATCCTGTGTAACGCATTCCTTCCCCCTCGCGAAATTGGTTCTCGCCGCATTCTTACGACAAGTACTCAATTCTATTGACATCGGCCTCAGGATTCTAGATTTATAATTTGAACTTGTTTATAATAAAGTCTAAGTCAAATAAATTGTGAATTCCATTACACAGGCATTTTTATTTTAAATTTTGAGTGTTAAGTTATTCATGGTCCTGCGAGCCTTACCGAAAAGCATCTTCGGATTTTTAGAAAACATTTTGTTAAGAACCACAATAAATAAAAAGTGATGACGAAAAATTTAAAAGACAAGACAAACCAAAAAATAAAATAAATAACAAAAAACAATGCAGTGCGGTGAAGTGAAGTGCAGTGGCAAATAAAATAATATACCTAAACATACTAAAGAGGAGTGCATTGACACAAAAACAAATATATAAAAACAGAGCGCAGTGCAGTGGTGGAAAAATAGCCATACTCGTATATATACATACTTATATATATACTATATAAAGAAACAGTGCGTATACCCTAAAACATAAAACTACAACAATTACAAAAGGGTTCAAACAAACCAATAAAATCAATAAAGGGTGCGAAACCTTAAAGCACCTAAAAACAAAACAAACGGGCGCGAATTAAAAAAAAAAAGCGCGGTTGAACAAACACAACAAGGATAATCTGCCTATGCTTATATAAGTTATCGGGCTGTGGGCCCACGTTGTTCATGGATGCCTAACAACGCGTGCTAGCATAGATGTAGTCCAACGCAGTTGGTCGCTGTCCAGGTATCTCGCAGTCAATGCACGAGATGATTATAGTCTTCTTTGGTCTATTACGTTGGGAGCTATACTTTGCTCTCTTATCGCTGGCCGTGTGGCTCAGTGATCACAACAATAACAAGAAGTTATATTATAACGGCAAAGCCGGAAAGTAAAATACTAACTGATTGATATTACAAAATTGGACTTAAAGCTAAACCTAAAAGTTGGACCCATAAGCTATAAATCTACAGCCGGCAAGCCGACTCAGCATAAGCGATAACGTAGACATTTGCAGCATAGTCAAATATCAGGTACCGCAGCTGACCTAGTAATCAGGCCACTGAACTCATGCGTTAGTGAAGCAAATGGGTAAAGGTAACTACAAGTTTCTTAATTCTTATGTGTTAACTTATACCCTATATACATTGGGTCAATTAGATATGAAGATTTTACACAATTATTAAAAAAAATCACATATTATTTCAAAAATAGATGTTTATTGGGCACAAATAAATTATTAGAAAAAATAAATAAATAATTTATTAAAAACCAAAAATACAAAAAGCGCGGTTAAACAAAAATTATTACTTTGAACAATATACATACGTACATACATATTAAAACAGCTACAATTGTAGCTGTACATCTTTTCAAAGTCCACATTGGCATATATCCCGCGATACTCCTTGTAACAAACAAGCAGGATTACGTACAAAAAATAAAAGTGCATTGATCTCTTTAACGGGCTCTCAATTGCACAAGGCACTAAGTACATACTTAAAGATATAATATTAGGGTGTATAAATAACATCAACATAAGGACCTAAAAATTATAATTAAATATAAAGTGCGGTTTTTTTTAGTTATTAAATTAAATAAAGTATTGCAAAACAAAAAACAAAAAAAATATTAAAAAACGGTATAAACTATCATTTATCGCTACATTTAAATCAGTTCACACTTAGAAAATTTTAATCAACTTGACACATATATTAATAAATAATATAACAAAAATTGTTAATGACAACAAAAATCAAATTATACTTGCAGAAGCTACACGCATAACACAGGTTGCCTCAAAGCAAATAAAAGGCAACGATATTTTTGCTACCAAATTCATTTCTGAGAGTGACAGATTGATACGATACTGAACTCGATTTTTATCTTCACCGATTCAAGCAACTCTGAATCGTTATCGGAAAAAAAAAAAAAAAAAATCTTGATAATTTTTGGACTCGTCTCCAAGCGGTTCATGACGCCATAGTAGAATCTGACGATTCAGATCTTCCACAAAATTTTAAATCATTGGCTTACGCCAAATACGAAAAGTACAAAAGCTATGATCTCCGATCAATTAGAGCTAATAAAGGCAATTGCATCTACTCCACACCCGAGAGACGAGCTGCCACAAGTGCAAAGCCAAGAGGCAAGTTCAGGCATCCACCTCGAGGTGCCCGCATGTGACACAGCAACATTTTATCGAGGTAATGAAGAATGGCCGTCCTTCTGAGACATGTTTACAGCCGCTTACATCAACCATCCTAAACTATCAAAAGCGCAATAATTTTATCACCTCCGATACAAAACAAAAGGTCAAGCAGGCGTAATAGTCGAACAATTCGCACTTAATGACGACAATTTCAGTTTAGCTTGGAAAGCTCTAAAATCTAGATATGAAAACCAAAGAATATTGGTTAATAAACAAGTAACGACACTAATAAACCTGCCTAAAATTCAAAACGAAACAAGTGAAGAATTTGTTACACCTGTTTCAAATTGTGTGTCGGTTCTATCGACACAAAATATTCCCACAGACAGCCCAATACTGGTAATACTGGTAAATATATGCACCGCCACTTTACAAGAAAAATCGTTACTTTTGTGGGAGCAATCGCTCTCATCTTGAAAAAAGGCCCAACGTGGCAGCAAATGAAAGATTTTCTAACTACCCAATAAATACGAAATCGCTGAAAGGGTAAAAAACAAATCAAAACAAAAATTGTTCAACACGACCTAAATTGAAGCTTCAATAGACCGCAAGCTAGTAGCAAAAACAAATTAAACAAAAGCTTTTACAAAACGCAATCGTTCACATCCGCACAGAATAAACATACGTCATACTAACTATACACAAGAGGTCATAAACTACAATCTTGCGAGAAGTTTTAAAACTTAAAAGTTAACGAACGAAATAATTTTGTCAGATTAAAAAGACTGTACAAAATGCGTGTCACATGCGCATACTTATAAAAATTGTAAAAGCAAATTCAATTGCTTATAATGTCATAAAAAACACCTATCAATGCTTCATTACAGCACATCTTCCAGCTCACCCCCAAATAGCGCAAATATGAAAAAAGCCACAGGTTTAGTTGCAACAGCAAGTCCCGAAGTGCGAAATCCCGAAAATTGCCAGGAAGCACCATGCTGCTCAAAGGTATTAATAAACCAAACCCTACACAGCGAAAATCAAAGTAGAGTACTACTACCCACAGCAGTCGTCTCCATCGGACACCGAGGAGAACTGTTTAACCAAGGATCACAACTCTCATTTATGGCGTTAAGGCACAAAATAGGCTACAACTGCCAACAAAACAAGCCAACTTTGAAATTACAGGAATGGGCGGAAGAGTAGTACAAACTCAAACAAAATCTGCTCCATTACCCTTACTTCCCCCAAAGCGGATAAGCGCGTTCAAGCAGAAGCTATTATCTTACCGCAACTAACAAACATGCTTCCAAACTATCATATAAGTAGCAAGCATTGGCAAAATGTTTCATACCTAAAGCTAGCAAATCCGCACTGCAACACCCCTGCTCAAATAAATCTTCTATTAGGCAGCGATCTCATATCGCAGATAATATTCGAATGTATTAAGAAAATTTAAAAAACACTTCTGGCACAAAGTACCATTCTTGGTTGGATCTAAGTGGACTAGTTACGGAACCAGTTACCACCATAACAACTTGAGTGACGAAAATTCAAAAAAAAAATTCCCCGTCATATCAATTACAACCCCAAAAGATCAGTATTGTGAAGACTTCTACAATGCCACAACTACTAGATCAAATAATGGTCGGTATGTCGTACGACTACCACTAAATTTACAATGTTCCAACACTCCACGAATTGGCAGAAAAAAGTCATAGTTCCTTTTGACAAGATCCGTTTTAGAAACAAAAATATGTAATTTTTCGGCCCCTCAGGATGGCTCTTGGCAATAATGATACAAAAATCCTACATCAAAAGTCGTGAGATATGTAGCGGGCTACTACTTGCCAAATTAGTGCATACGCACTTAACATTACATATAACAAAATTGTCCAAAGAATGTCAAAAAATCGACAAATCTCTTACTATAGTGCCTCATAGTTACCTAAATTTCCATAATAATAAAACAATTCAACAAAAAAGTTAAGGGTTCACCATACTCCCAATGTGATACAGTGACGCACCTAGACTTACAAAAGCAAAGGTCGCAGTTATCTAAGCGCTACTCATGTGTGTGGCTTATGAGAATCAGCTATCAAAAGCTTCAAAATCTTCAAAAAAAAGTAGATGGATATTACAAAAATTATTATAAATAGAATTTCTACATTACTAAATGAAGCCGTTCTCAATTCACGACCAATCATTGTACACTCACAATATCCCTCTAATTTCATAGCCCTAACCCCAGGGCATGTTTTCAAAGGAGCCCCCATTCTGGTCATATCTAAGCCAGGCGTGGAGTCGATAGACTCCATAAGCCGATAATAAATTGCAAACAATTGCCAATAATACAGAAAGGGCTAATAATAAACAATCCGCACAATAAAGCGATAAAAGAAATAACCGCAAATACAATAAGTACAAAAAACAACTATAAATTCAATAAACCCGTTAAATAAAGTTGGATATTTTTTGCACGCACATCAAAATCCATACCAAATATGCTTTCTGTACCTACAGGTAAATATGGATATAATTCTATCACCATGTGTGCCGCGCCCTCGACCACTAAACCAGCAGCACGCCGAAATACATGCAATATAAGCATATACGTGTAATACTAGGCAAAATATTCGCCTAGGGGGCCAGAATGTTTAAATAAGATAAGTCTCCTCTACATATATACACTATTCTACTCAGAAAAAACTGGCTAACCCTAATGGAGCACACCACACCTCAGAACGCTCAAGGCATTTCACCCCACACGACGACACCACCACTCTTATCCTCTGAGAACAACATGCACGAAGAAACCTAACAACGGGATAATGATGGGATCATCGCTAAATCGACATTCGCTTATTAGACAGCTGATACATCGATCCTACAAATTCGCTTATCGTTTACGGGCCTGAGCACCGTGTCAACACCGTTCGCCACGCGCTAGTTCGATTTAA